CTCTGAATGCTATAATGGCTAGGAAATAAAATGCGGTCTCTGTTTACACTCTGTCAAGATCCTTGTACACAGATGAAGGTGCATAGGTCCCCAGTGCCTGCAGGCAGAAGCACAAACACTCTTAGAACCCAGAAGCCCCTATATGTACCTTCCCAACACACAGACACACAAGTAAACAAAAACATATCTCTTAGCTACCCACTTGGGACTTACTGGGTGAGTAACAACCAACAAGATTCTAAAACACACACACACACACACACTCAAAGGGGATTGGGGAGGATGTACAGGGAATATGGGCATAGAATCCAAGACTGATGTAGGAAGTCCTTCTGTATATGTGTTGCTTTTATTGATTAATGGAAAAAACTGTTTCGGCCAGTGGCTTAGCAGAATAGAACTGGGCAGGAAAACTAAACTGAATGCTGGGAGAAAGAAGGCAAAATCAGAGAGAAATCATGTAGCCTCCACCAGAGACAGACTCTCCAGAACCTTGCTGGTAGCCACAGCAATGTGTTGATAAACAGATTAATAGAAATGGGTTAATTTAAGATATAAGAGTTAGACAGAAATATGCTTAAGCTATTGGCTAAATAGTATTGCAAATAATATAGTTTCTATGTGTTTATTGCAGGACTAGGTAAGACAGAAATCTCTGCCAACACAAGACCACCAACTGTTCAGCACTGGGAGAGAACTTGCTTCCAGGAAGTTCAGTCGGATAGTAGGACTCACCTCCCCCAGTTTTCTCCACTCCTCTCCCTGCTTATTCATACTGCAACCAGGGCTGGCTTGGTACATCAACAGTCAAGTGGGTTTTGGAAACCACTCTCCCAACTAGCCAAGACTAACTGCAACCTCTGCTGAAAGAGAGGGTTCACACCACCCTCTTAATCTCATAGCTTCCTATACACTGAGAGCCCATAAAGGCCACCATCTTCTGGTTACAAGTCTGAGGACAGGTCAGTGAAATATGTAGGAAAGTTGGAGTGTACATAGCCCTAGGGAGAATGAGGGCTTGACTCCCGAAGGCAAGAACTTTTAGATCCAAGGTGTCCAGAGAAGCACCAAAAATTACATTGTTGAGGAGGCTGTTTGTTTGTTTCCCAGCTGCCCAGACCAGAAATAATCACTCAGAAACTATATTAATTAAATCGTTGCTTGGCCAATCACTTAAGCATATTGCTAGATAGCTCTTATATCTTAAATTAACCCATTCCTATTGGTTTATATTTTACCACAAGGCTCGTGGCCTATTGGCAAGGTTCTGGCTCTCATCTCTCTCCTCTAGCATCTACATGGTTTCTCCCTGCCTCCACCTTCTCTCTCTCTCTCCCTCTCTCTCTCCACACACACATACACAGACACACACAGACACACACACACGCACACACACGCACACACACACACACACACACACACATATATATTTTCCAGCCTGGATATATTCTGTTAAGTTCTTGGCCAAAAGCAGCTTTATTCATTAACCAATAAAAGCAACATATATACAGAAGGACATCCCACACCAGCACATCTCCATATAGGTAACAGTCTTGCTTCTACTTATTTTATATTTTAGACAGTAGATGGGACTGGTCTGGGCCACTCCAACCCTTAACCTCCCAGGAGAGTGTGCAGGTGTTCTCACATGACCCAGCCAGGAGACATACTGCCTCTTCAAGCTTATCCCAGTGTTCTTCATACAGACAGAAAAACAACCATGACATTACCTTTCCATACCCCTGCCTCCTGGACATCCCCAGGAAGACAACAGCAGGCATGTTGATCCTTGTAGCAAGCGAAAGTCTCGTCACTCAGAGAAGATGGACAAGTAGAGGGCCCCTTAGCTAGTTCTTAATGTGCCGGGACACATAAAGGACAGGACTCCTAACAGAACTGAGAGATTATAAAAGCACACACACTTAAGCAATAAGGCCAAATATTGCTATGACCCAAGATTCTGACACCTTCACGGCATGTGCCCTCCTCCTTCCCACCATGTACTCAGCTTGCCAGAACACTCGGACCATCACTTAAACCAGACAGTACTGGCTAAATTTGTTGTCCATACCTCCAGTCAGCCCTTAAATGTCATTCTCCTGATATCTCCCCTGACCTATTGGCTACGGCTATGGCCTATTGCTGTACATCAAAAATTTAGACACAGAGAAATAAAGTGTTTAGGTTCTGAGGATCCAAAACTTGGAGTGGCTTATTCAAAGGCTTTGGCTCATTCTTCAATGGGACTTCAAACAGATCACTGGTCCTCTAGGTCCTCTGGAGGCTAGACAATGGCTAAGGTCTCTTTCAAGAAGTCCTGTTCCCATGGCTACTGATGGATGCTCTACAAGCTTCTCGAGTGTTCTCACATCAAGGAATTAGGGGACCCGAAAGTCAAAAGGAAAACTAGACAACACTTTAAGTGACCTAGTCTCAGAAGTCACTTGCAGCCCCTTACACATGTTGACTATTTGAGAGGGAGTTGAAGACAGCCTACACTGAGGGCTGTAGACACTTTGGCTTTTGTTGTTGTTGTTTGGTTTGGTTTGGTGTTTGGGGTGTGTTTTTGGTTCTTTGGTTGATTGGTTGGTTTGATTGGGGGGAGAGGGGCATTTTCAAGACAGGGTTTCTCTGTGTTACAGTTCTGGCTGTCCTGCAACTCGCACTGTAGACCAGGCTGGCCTCAAACTTAAAGAAATCTACCTGCCTCTGCCTCCCAAGTGGTAGGATTAAAGGTGTGTGCCGTCACCACATGGCTTGTGGGCCCTTTTAAAACCACCACCCATAGCTCTGCTGAGATCAAGCTGTGCCTGGGCCTCTTTCTTCCCTATGCAGCCATACTTCAGCAAAACCTAATTAGTGCACACTGTTCCTGGGCAAAAGAACCCCTTCAGTACAAGAGCACCTACTGAACAGATCCAGCAAAGACTCCAACTCACTTTCCAGAACTACATTCAGGCCACAGAGAGTGGCAAAACCAGGTGTGCTGGGTGATGTATGTGTGAAGGAGGAACAGTGTGAGCAGATGAGTGGGTGTGAAAAACAGGATGGGAACACACTTGGCTGTGACCTGGCTGTGAAAGAGGAAGGCACCCTTGGGGATAACCACTCAGTAGTGACTCTGGCTTACTAGAGCTCACCACAACAGGGCATCTCCACAGAAGAAGACTCCAGACCCTTGTCCCCTTCAATGCTCTGGTGGCAAAATCATTTACCGAGTGGTACTTATACAGACTTTTGTCCCCACACACAGCCCAGCAAAGAGGAAAGTCTCCTTCCCCTGTGGCTCCCCAGAGCTAGCCAACAAGAACAAGGATTCCTTCTTACTAGGAATCTTTTGGAACTAGCTTTGTTCTTCTCCCTGAACCCCTTGGAAGTCTGGAAAGGGGCTTACTCTGTCAAATCCCCACACTCTGGCTCCTGGTCCCAAGGAGAACCTAACCTCATCTTAGTACCCAAATCTCACTGTTGTTTCTATCACAACTGGTCAAAGAACTTAGCTGGACATACAATGGGGCCACAGTGCCCTCTGGTGGGAAGAGTCCAAAGCAGCTGATGAACCCTGACTTTTCTGAGGCTCCTTGAGGCCTACCTGCCCTTCACATAACCCTAAGACTCGACTGAGCAGTTCCCTTTGCACAGAGAATGAAACTCAGATACAGAGAACTGTATCTAGATAAACTAGACTTAATCAAGCTCAGAGGTAAACAGAAACAGTAGTAAGGCGGGGTTGGGCAGAATGGGGAAGGAATGGTGAAAGCACATAGTCCTGGAGAGCCAGGGAGATACATTCATCTTCTCTGATGGCCAGAGTCCTTTAAGACACTAGCCAGGGTCACATCAGGAACATGCAATCTCCTGGGGACTATAACTTCATCAGGGAAGGAATTTTTTTTCCTTGATGCCGAATTTCTGTTTGAAACCAGTGTGTTTATTAAGAACTTTTTGTGAGGGGCTGGAGAGATGGCTCAGAGGTTAAGAGCACTGGCTGCTCTTCCAGAGGTCCTGAGTTCAATTCCCTGCAACCACGTAGTAGTTCACAACCATCTGTAATGAGTCTGGTGTCCTCTTCTGATATGCAAGCATACAAGCAGGCAGAACACTATATACATAATAAATAAATAAATCTTTTTTTAAAAAAAAAGAATTCTTTGTGAGTTGTGCATGGTGGTGCACGCCTTTAATGCCAACACTCGGGAGGCAAAGGCAGATGGATCTCTGTGAGTTTGAGACTAGCTTGGTCTACAAAGTGAGTTCTAGGACAGCTAGGGCTGTTACACAGAGAAACCCTGTCTTGAAAAACCACCAACAACAAAGTACTATTTGTGTACCTGCACACACACACACACACACACACACACACACATTCACAGTTTGAAGTCCTATCTCCCAATGTGATGGTGTTAAGAGGTGACTCTGCTGTAGGTCATGAGGTTGGAGTTCCACGACTTCATTATCCTATTAATGGAATATGTGCAGCTCTGATGTCTTCTTTCTATAAAGCAAGGATACAGTGAGAACACACTCTCATGGAATCCAGCCCACCATACCTTCACGGACTGCAGCTTTCAACACCATGAGAAATAAATGTCTATTGCTTATAAGCTGTTACACTACAAAAGTTCAAGCTGACAGTTTCTGTCATTAGAAATTGTATAAAACCAGTCCTTAACCCACCACCAGCCCTGTACTGGAAGCAAGGACTTTGGTACATAGGATCCTGTTCAAACTGAGGCAAAGAAAAGCCTGTGGGCCTGGAAGGAAGGCATCTGCCCCTAAGGGTAGAGAAAAGAGTTGTCATTGTTTTGGGAGAAGAGAAGGCAGCAGCCTTTGCAACCCAGGGTCTAGTTTCCCTCACATAAGTCAAGAGGCTCATTAAAGACCCTCTACCAAGGGCAGAATCAGCCTGGTCCTACAGCCCCTCTCAATACATATGAACTCCCAGGAAATTACTCTTATGTATCTAGAGTCAGCAACACTTATTCTGTGGACAGCACAGGTCACTGGTTAGGTATTTATTATGGCACTCCTTCATTATTCCAGAGGCAGGCTCAGGGCTGGCTACATGCATGGAAATAACACTTGTTGCATGCTTAAATACATGAAGATGTACAAATTCACAAAGTTTAAACCTTGGCAAGAAAACACAATAATGAATAGTTTCTTCCCAAATGTCACAGAAAGAGTCCTGGCCTCCCCATTAAGATCATTAAGGCCAGGTCTCTCTGAGACAGGAACTAGCCCAGGCTCTGCATGTGTGAAGCCACCTAACCAAGGTCTCAGCGGAAGACCAAAGTCTATCCGAGGTTGCTAGCATTTTGGTAGCTGATCCACAGAAAGAGCATCTACAAAACCTCTTATTCTCTGAACCGTCAAATAGGTCTCAAAGGTATAGACTCTTCTTCCAATGTCCGCCAAACTCTGATGGTCCTTGTGGATTGTCTCAAATGAGTCATTTTAGGGTTTCAGCTCTCACATCATCTCTTCATTTGATGCCAACTTTCAATTTGGCAGCAAGCTCAGGCCTTACTCAAATATGCCCTAAGGCATATAAATGAAGCAGGTGGTCGCTGTGGGTTCAGAACAGAACACATCTTGACAGCTGCCCTTTGCAGGATACAAGTGTGCTTCTAGCAGTGCAGCTACTGCCCTCCGGTGTCAAAGAGAGACTTCCAGAGAGCTGAGGGAGCTGTGGGGAATGAGGACAGAGCCTATTCTCCTGCTCTGCTCTTACTAAGCAGCCCAAGACCATGCTGCCTCCATGTTGTGCATAGCCTACAGAGGCCACACAGCAGCTTTCTCCTGGTTACTTGCCACACACCTAGAAATAGGGATTGCCAAGCAGTCTGTGGTAAAAGAGTTCACAAAGCTTTTGGAGAGGCAGGGCCATAGGGAAGTTCTGGGTGTTGTTCCCTATTGGACTCTTGCTGGAAAAGTGCCCCATGTTGGAGTCACAGTCAGATAGAACAGGAAGTGGCAGAGACAGAGGCCGTGCCAAGTCCCCTTTGCAGACTTTATGGTACAGTATAGAAAGAATCTTCAAAGAGCAGCCCTCCAAGAAACCACTGGTGCCCACCCACCTCAGGTAATCAGGCTGAATCTGTGGAGCTAGAACCAGAAAATGATCCAAGGCAGCTCCAAGCTTAGGGCCAGTCTCAATTTAAAAAAAAATGCTGTCCACTGCAGCACCAGGCAACACCAAGTATTTTCAGCAGTCCTACAGAAATACTTAAAGGCTGAGGGCAATAGCATACAAGGTATGACTGCATGGTCACTGAAATACCTCAGGCTGAGCCCACCCAGAGCCAGGGCAGCAGGGAGAGGCCAGAGAAGAGTCACATGAAGCATGAATACCTATGTAGGTTCTCCAGGCATGTCCACTGTGTTATAGATATTTCCATACAGCATCCTTTGGTCCTCTCTGGTCTCACACCAGAGTGGGAAGCCTAATCTGACAGAAGTCAAAGAGGCCACCTTGACACTTTGACCTGTCCCATGGTGTTATAAGGTCTTCTTCTAGGTTTCTAAGCATCCTGAGCCAAAAGAAAAGCCATTCAAGGCCCCAGATGCTCAAGGCTCAGGGTCAACCTAGAGAGCAGTGACCTGTGTAAGTTCCGTGTTGGGTGTAGATGGGCTCTGTGGGCTGACAGGCACCATGGGCAGGTCCACGCCTAGTCATGCCGGCCGTGGTACTGTCTCAGAAGTCTTGCAAGCAAGGCCCACATCTTTGGCAATGCTGCGCACACGATCAGAAACCTGCATCTCCCGGTGCAAGGCTGAAGCACAACAGAACTTTCTAAAGCAAGCCTTGAAGTTCTCATCCAGGAAAGCATAGAGAATGGGGTTGAGACAGCTGTTGACATAGCCCAGGGCTGTGCAGAAGCGCAGAATGGCTACTGCAGTCTCACTGCCTGGCTGAACACCCAGTCCTTGTACCAGCACAAAGACTTGAACAGGTGTCCAGCAGCCCACAAACACAGCCACCACCACCAGCACCAGCCGTGTGATACGACGCAGGTTCCGGTCCTTCTCTCGGGAGCCTGAAAGCAGACGGACACCCCGGAGCCGCCGAATCATGAGGCTGTAGCAGACAGAGATGATCAACACAGGGATGATGAAGGAAAAAAGGAAGATGCAGATGGCAAACACGGGGCCCCAGTAGTCCTGAGGGGCAGGGATCTCCACCAGGCATTCGATCTCTGCAGGAGAGAAATGGGGTCAGAAAGGCCACCAAGAACTACGGGGAACTGGTCAGAGAGGAGGATCATCCACTGACCTTCATCCTCCACTTGTGCTGAGCCCATGACGGCAACAGGAACACCAACCACTGAGGCCAGGGCCCATATGGCCACGTTAACAGCCTGGGCTTTGCTGGACGTCCGAACATCAAGAGCACGAATTGGGTGGCAGATGGCCACGTAGCGGTCTACACTCATGGCAGTCAGGGTGAAAGTGCTGGTGAACATGTTATAGTAATCAATCGCAATGACAGTCTTGCACAGTGTGTTCCCAAATGGCCAGAAACCCAATAGGATATCTGTGCCCTGGAAGGGCAGTGTCAGCAAGACCAAGGTATCAGCCAGTGCCAGATTAAATATATAAATGTTGGTAGCTGTCTTCATCTTGGTATGCCTGTAGAGAACAGAGAGAAGAAATATTCCATTTGGCCACTTTGGCCAGACTTGGCAGCAAAAGGGCCACCATGAGGATCACCATCTTTGAATCTCTCAACTTCACAGTCTCAAAGCAAGCTTGTTAAATGGCAGATCCTGCACTACACCCAAGGTCCATTAAGCCTGGAATAAACAAAACAAGCTCCTCATGTGATCTTGACATCTACAAAAAGGTTTCAAATCTTAAAGAAAGAACTACCCTGGAAAATTTAGAGCATGGAGGAGCAAGCACTTGAGTACATATCTAACCTGAATGTGAGCTTTGTGGAAGAGATCAAGAGAGAAAGATGCTGTCTTCTCTTCTGACATTCCTCTCAGAGGTTTCTCAGGGCACTGCCTGGAAAGTTCATCAAAGGTCTTTCAAGTGCACAATGTTGTCTAGCAATGAAAACGGGAAATGGTGGGCCAGCCAGAAGGCTGTTGGTAAAGGCACTTATTGCCAAATCTCAGGATCTGAGTTCTATCTCCAGGACACGTGTGGTAGAAGGAGAAAACCAACTCCTTCATCTGGCCTACACATCCGGACACACACACATACACATAAATAAATGCAACAATTATTTTAAATTCTAAAAAAGGAAGCGGGAAATGGTGACAGAAACAGGAGAGATACTAATTAGGTTTGATTATATTCAAGCACCTGGAACCATGCTAGGAACATTGTAAGTAATAAATATTAATGGAATGAATTAATGTTTACAACAGTGGTAGGGAAGGGTGGTTATAGGGATAATGGTGATGAAATGATGGTAGTGGTGATGGTGGTGGTTACAGTTGTCGTGGTGGTGTGGTAGTGGTAGCGCTAAAGATGAAGTAGTCCTCGTCAGTTTAGTTGCTATCAGGGAACCTGGGATTAAGTTCTGTTTCTTAGCAATTTATCCCAGAGACCTTAATTACAATAAATAACAATGTCAATAATAATGGTAGATATCCAAGGCAAGCTCTTCACATAGATTTTTATCTCATTTGAGGTTTACAAAAATGCTATTTTGATCCCTATTGTAAGGGGAAGGAAACTGAGGCTCGGAGGAGCTAAGTAGCTTTCATAATGGCTTAGAACTGCTAAAACGCAGAATGTGGCTCAGACCAGGTTTTTCCGACTCCTGGCATATACCCAATTCAAACATACCGTGTGCTATTTCCTGAGCCAGTGTGGGCATCACAGCTCCTGAGAATAGTTCTCTTGAGATGCTAGTGGGTACGATGACCTTCCTTGTCTACTCTAATGCCATAAATGGCTCCAAGAGTTTTAATGTCCCAAATACAAAGGAGAAACGTAGGAGAGAACAAGAGGGGTGATGACAATGGGGTGGACACGGCCCATAAACTGTCCCAGGTTGCTGTACTTCTTGCCACAGACACATCGTCCATCCATGAAGAGACACATGAGTCATGGCAGTTTCCCACAAGGGTCCTCTACTGGAAGTCAATACTGAGAAGGCTTTTCTTACTTCACTGTCTAATCACATATCACATACACACACACGTGTGTGCACTTGCACATACATATGACTATATGATCCACCTTTCCCATTTAACAAATAGAGAAAACAAGGCCGATGGTGAACAGGGTTTGTTCAGAAATACTAAGAGGATGGTGATGAGGCAGAGTGTTGACGCTGTTCTTGTCCTGCCTCCACCAACACTGATAGCACCAAGGGAGCCATAACCTCTTTCTTCAGAGCCACCTCTTTGTGAAAGAGGAAATCTATCAGTGAAGAGCCTGGCTCTAGTTATTTACTATTAAAGTACCTCCCATGTCTTCCCAATGCTGGAAATATTTGGTGTCCCCAGACTGGCATTCAAGTCCTCATCTGCTGTTTCCACTCCCCCTCAATGCCCTCCCAGTTGAAAAAAAAAAAAAAAACAGAGACCATCATTGCCACGGCACATTTACCCATGGCACACCCCTTGTGTAGCTTTCTTGTCCACAGAACTGAACCTTACGCTGCCCTATTTCCCTCACTGTCGCCTACCTCACTCACCCAGTAGTGCCACTGCCTTCTTTTTAATCCTCCAAATTTTCCCATTTCTGAGCACCAATAGAGGGTGGGCTCAGACAAAACTATCCACCATGAACAGGGATCCCAAGAGCCAAAGAACAAGGGCTTCAGGCCCAGCACCAGCCCCTCTGCCTCTCTTTGAGCAATCCTAGGATCCTGTGTAGCCATGAGGTCATTCACACAGACAGCATGGCCCAGACTTCTCTGCAGCTCCGAGCCTCCAGGTGGTGACATCTAGTCTGGGACAGATAGGGGTAGAATAGGAGTTGAACATCAAGGTTGATCCTACCCCCTGAACAGAGAGGAAAGAAATTTGATGGAGCAAGCAAAAATCCATACTTGCTCAGATTAATCCAGAACAGCCTCCTGCCTCAGGTTCCCCCTCCACAAATTAGTGGGGCCCAGCCTACCTGAGGATGACATACATGACGAGGCAGTTCCCCAGCAGCCCCCCGATGCACACAGCCAAGTAGAGCCCCACGATGGTGACCTTGAGTCCAAGGGGCAGGAAGGCGCTGTGGCTAGAATTGAGCAGCAGGTGGTGGGGTACAGTCTCATTTAGGACAGACAGGTTGCCTTGAAAGTGGCTGCCATACAAGACCTCCCAGAATGGGGCAGGGAAGAGGGACTCCATGCTGTCACCCTGCAAAGTCACTCAGTATAGTTCCTGGAACAGGGTACAGAAACAAGTGACCACAGTGCTAGACACAGTCCACTGAGGCCCTAGAATACAACACAACCAGCCTAACAGACACATGGAACACCTCCATGGACAGCCACAAACACTAGGCACACACATAGACACAAGGACAAGGACAAAGGCATGCACATGGGCACAGGATGACACACACAGAATTATGGGAGCACATACATGTATCCACAAGGTTAATTCATGTTAGGGTTAGAGACTCATATAGAAGCTACGTGGAGGTAGCTACACAAGCACGCATGTACACCCACAGAGACTCAGGAGCACACAGCCATCTGAACACAAAAATACCCAAACTATCCGAATGCACGCTGGAGCACAAAAGACACGGAATTTACCCAGAAATGCCGAGGACCCAGGCATTTCACATAGCTTCCTCCCGGCCCCCAGCCCCCAGTCCCCAGCCCGGAGTTCCCCCCTCTCCACACAGTAGCAGCAGAGTCTCTCTTACCTCCAACAGCACACACAACCTCTTCAGAAGCGGGGCCAAAACAGACCCTAATGCTTATCAGAAAGGCAGGAAGGCAGGAAGAAGGCAAGAGCTCGGTGTACTGAGCAAAGCTTCCCACTCCAGCATGGGATCTGCTCAGGCTGTGAAAGGCTCCTTGCTCCTAGCTCCTGCTCCGAAGATAAGATATTGACTAGATGCAGCAGCCAGTGCGGCAGCCAGAAGGAGGGGGAGGGGCCGAGGCTGCGGCTGAGAGAGGGAGGGGCTGTGCAGGTTGGAGAAGGGAGCCAAGAAAGGAAAGATCACCAGACCAGAGCTCCCAAAACTCCACACCAGGTAGAAACAGACAAAAGATTACAGCACACATGAAGTGATGGACCCACCCACCCAGGGCAGACACTCTCAGGAGCTGAGACACAATGGGGTCATCCATAAACACAAAAATAAAGACATGAGCAGGAACTCAGACACACATACACACACAGCCTTAGACACAAGGACACACTCGGAGATGTACACAGCGAAAGCTCACCCAGAAGCAGAAGCAGATGTGAGGCTCCAACACACACAAATGTTGTTTTGTTTTGTGTGTGTGTACATACGTGTGTGTGTGTGTGGTTGGTTTGGGGTTTTTTTTTGTTTGTTTGGTTGGTTGGTTGCTTGGTTGGTTGGTTGGTTTTGGTTTTTTGTTTGGTTTTGGTTTTCTGAGACAGGTTTTCTCCATGTGGCCCTGGCTGTCCTGAAACTCACTCCATAAACCAGGCTAGCTGAGAACTCAAAGATCAGCTTGCTTCTGCCTCCGAAGTGCTGGGAGTAAAGATGTGCATCACCACCACCCAGCACAAATGTTGTTTTGTGCAGATTAGCCCAGATCAGATTTTGCTGGCTTTTCTGCCCAAAGCTGTCCTCAGGCAGATGTCTAGTGTGGAAGAGCATTGAAGCAATAGACAGCAATATCCTGACCCAACTAATTCTCCAGTTAAAGTCTTGTTGTAAATAAGCAAGAGGTTGTCTGGACTGAGGACCAGTACTGCCTTGCTTGTGTGCTGCTTACACCTAATGTACACCAAGCCCAAGACAAAATTGAGCTCATGAACCCCCATTACATGTGGGCATTCCCACACACCTCTGAGATCTGAAACTGCCTGTCGATATAGCAGTAATAAGAGGAAGTCAGATCTGCTGGTCACTTGAAGCCAACACCGCAACTGAGCCCTAGACATGAATCTTGGTATACACAGAGCTGGCAAGCTTCTAGGGACTGTGTTCCTTGCCAGAACAGGGGTCACAGTCTGCTGAGATAAAAGCCATAAGTCAAGGTCATGTGGGCTAGGAACCGTATGCTGAGTTTCTAGCCATCATCAAATCATAGGCTTGTTTTTCCTGTCTGCGCTGAATGAAAGCCAGACCTCCCACATACAGCCAGACCCTGCTCCTTCTCCAAGGATGGGGACCTGGTTGCTAGGCAACTCACAGAAGTGTTGCTAGGATACCTGTCCAACCAGAAAAGGCCAAAGCAGACAGACGCCCCAGGACTCAGCATCCCAAACTGTCTCCAAGGACTTGTCTCTGCAGCTGAGACTCAGAAACACATGGATATTCAAGGAAACACACGAGAACACATTCCTGCAAATAAACAGAACACATACAGAGATGCCCAGACAGGCATAGTATGAATACAGACACACAAGTGATATGTGCCCAGAGACGCACACAAAGATCACATATTCAAACCCAAAAGGTTCATGCAGGCACAAAGGGAAAAATATACGAAGAGAATGTGAACTAGAGTGGGAACAGGCAGGCACAGATTAAGGCCCGTAGATATGGAGCACACAGGAATGCACTCTCTGTCTCTGTCCCTGTCTCTGTCTCTCAGTTTCTCTCTTCTCTTTCCTCCCTCCTTCCTTCCATCCCAGACCAAGTTGGCACCCTGATCCCAAAAGTCTGAGGGGGTAGGAACTCAGACAGGCTCAGACTCCTGAAGCATCTTCTCCAAACAACCCCAGAGTTCTCAACCAAGCTGTCTCTGCACCTCTACAGAGCCTATTTTCCAAATGACCTTCACCTGCCTCCCAGTCCAGGCTCCAGATTTGAAAAGAGGATGCTGTAAGCATTGTAAGTGTAGGCAGAACAGAGCCACAGAACGTCCCTTCCTCTCATGGTCTTGGTTGGCTCCTGTGTGCTTTGCCTCGCCCCCATTGCATGGATCCCACACCCAAACTAGCTCCAGCCCTGCCTATTCTAAGAGGCCTTCCTTGCCACTGTCCTCAGTTCCAGGAGTCCTTGGCTCAACCTCATAGCCTCAGCTATAACTCAGCTACAATGCTGTCAGGTAAAACTGAGCTCTGGTCTCAGCATATGTCTCTAAGTGTGGACCAACAGAGTCCATGTGCTCACATGTTGTCTCAGGTGGAAGAATAACTTGGTCATCTGATAAAAGAGACGGCCAAAATGGGCACCAGTGTTTCAGATGAAATAGCTCTAGCATCTTGATTCCAAACAGGAACACAGCAAGGACAAATGGGCTTTTCAGAAGGGAAGAAACAGGACGATACAGAACATAAGTGAGACAAAGAGGTCTGCAGTAGAAATGTCACATGAGAGTATTACTGAAGATTTGGGCAACTCAAACAACATGGCTCAAGCATACAGTTCACTGTTGAAGCCACCGAGAACTGTACATGGGTATCAGAAACAGCTAGGCAAGGTTCAGATCATGACTATGTAGTTCTGATTGCCCTGAAATTCACTATATAGATATGGTAGGACATGGTGGCGTGCAGGCAAACATGATGTTGATTACATCTTGATCAGAAGGCAACAGGAAGTTGATGCAGAATGCGTCAAAATGGGGGGAACGCTAGTCAAATAATTCCAAGCTAACTCCAAATATGGTATTCTAAGGTTTTTCTTTATTAAAAGGGAAAACTCACAGAACAGGGATGGGGGTACAGCATCAAAGTTTGGAGCTCAGGAAGAAAGGGGTGAACAAACAGAACCACAGCCTTTTGGTACCCCAAAATAGATTCTGATTGTTAAATTCAACAGCACAAATTCTTTCAGATAATGTCTTAGCATCCTTCAACATTGATTGGATTTTGTCTGTCAAATGAATGTTATCCTTTTCAATAGTATTAATTTTTTCAACTAGCTGTTCATTATTTGTCTGTAAAGGCTGTATCATTTCTTAAAGTGCCTCATTCTTGGCTCTGTTATCAAACCATTTTCTTAACAATATAATATGAAAAACAAAACCAATTCCCAAAATCAAATAAATGGATGTAAAAGGAAAATCACAAGAGCCTTGCAGAATAGCATCCATAGCATAAGCAAAATAGCTATTAAATTTCTGAAGGGTAATATTGTCAACTATCTTATCACTTTCAAATTTATCAGTTCACTTACCTGCCTCAGGCAATTTCAGTGAATTGGAGTACGTGTAATGATTTTTATTGGTCAGTAGGTGTCATGGTTTCAGCTGCATAGCTGAGGGACGCAGAGGAGAAGCTCCTGCCAACTTCTCCGGGATTGTTCACTCTGGTTCTGTATGCCGCCTACTTAGATACTGATAAATATGTTTTGTTTAACAAATTAAGAGCAGTTATTAAGGACAATCAAAGTGATTCTGAGAGTTAGTGATCAGAATAAGGAGAAAGCCCAATCAGTCACAAGTCGTGAACTTTGCATGCTGTGTCAGCGAAAGAAACAGCCTCTGCCATGTTGGGCTGGGCAGAGCCAACAGACAGGACCACAGAGTTGGTCATATACATGCCCACTTAGCATATAATAAAAAAGGTGCTTATGGTCAAAAATAATTACAGACATACAATAAAGACAGATTCAGATTTTTTTTAAAAAGACCTCTAAATGGGTCATTGTTGAAAAATGTATAAAGGCCTGGGAGAAAGAAGAAAAAGAATATAGACAGTTACAAAAAATAGGTTTAAAAAATAAAAGTCTTTAAAGAGACAGAGTACAGTCATGGATTAAATTAAAAATAAGCCACTTAAGATGGAATATACACAGAGAGTCTGGATTATGTATAGTATTGTGTTTTCTTTGAATGTTTTGACTGCAGAGAGACATTTGATTCTGGGAACTGTTAAGTTAAATTTATATATATATATATATATATATATATATATATATATATATATATATAAGGTATCTTGACTTCAAAATTTGGGTCTAAGGATATGTTGCTTTGTAAAAGAGATTCTGCTTTTGTTTCCACAGAGGATGAAAATCTGTGGATTCCTTCCAGACTAATGTGGTTTGATGGACCAAAACCCCCTGAAAAGTCTTTGTGAACACCCACAAAAATTACTTCGCTCAATAAACAGCAGGAAGTAGTTTGAAAAGTACTATGCCCAAATTCCCTAAATGACTGTTTATAAATGTTTGTTTACATTTAAAGGGGAATATGTTATAGAGATGAATACTTTGCATTGGTATAGATCTTGGTTTATTGATACAAATTTAAGATCAATTTTGTTATATGTGTATTTCTGCTCTTGATTAAGGTATTGTGTCTGTGGAGCTCATTTAAAATGCAATGTATAATTAAGAAATATAGGTTAATAGATAATCGTCTATAATAGTCAAGCTTCTAGTCATGTTAAGTTTTCTAGATATATAGAGATATATTTCAGTTAGATAGGCATTCTTCAAATCTTTCAGAGACCTTCAGAATATGTCATTTAAAATGTTTAATAACTTAGGACCTTTGAAGGTCGTGAAGGAAGAGTAGTGTGGTGGTGCAGCCATTTCTTCTGCCTTCCACCCCTGCGCCCCTCACTGAGCATCCCACAGCGCCATGTTGGGCCAGAGTGTCCAGAGGTTCACCACCTCTATGGTCCGTTGCAGCTACGACAAGGAGGGCCCGGGGAAGAATTTGTCATTTTCGATGGAAAACAAGTGGCAGTTACTGGCGATGATGACTGTGTACTTTGGATCTGGATTTGCTGCTTCTTTCTTCATAGTGAAGCACCAGGTTCTTAAGAAATGAGAATATTTAATTCATCCCTTTAACAGAATGAAGATTGTTTAGGAGATTGATCTGAAAATTGGATTAAACTCTTGAACTCTTATTACTAAATAAAACTGTAAATAAATATGTGACATTAAAAAAAACTTAGGACTTTTCATGACATGAGATACATCTGCTCCTGGCAGCACCAATTACTTCAAAAGGAAGATGGGAATCGAAGAGGCACCTTATGGAGTTTGCTAGCTATTTGGGCAAGAAACTGCTCTTGTCTGGACTGCTTGATGTTGTGCTCTATAAACTGTACCTGCAGGACCCACACAAAAATGACTACTGAACTTGCCTAAAGGTAAGCTGGTCCTTTGGGTTTCCTGCTTCATAAAACAGTCTGCCAGACATACTGCAGCACACAGAAAAAAGCAACTGATGGACTTTGTCATCACAAGGTAGAACAAATCTTAGGATTTCCTGCTTCCTGAAAAAGTCTCCTGGATACCATGGACCTGTAGGCTGAAGATTGGATGCCCCAGTATTATAGAAGAACTTTGGGTGCCTGGCAATTCTAGAGTTTTGGAAGTTGCTTACAATGAACTTCCTACTTACTTAGGTATTATTATACCCTTCTGGAGTCTTTGATGGAGTTGAAGAGTAGATAGTTATAGTTATCTATAACTAAGTTTTCCTTAGTTATAATAAAAGATAAAGTAGTTATAAATATTATAGCCATAATTCTTGTTTGATACCTGTTTTGGTATATGTAATTTTACTATGTTAAAGTTAAAAGTTTACTTTTTATTTAAACAGAAAAGGAGAGATGGTGTAGGAAGTCCTTCTGTCTATGTTTTGCTTTTATTGGTTAATGACTAAAGAAAGCTGTTTCAGCCAGGGACTTAGCAGAATAAGGCAAGGTGGGGATTCTAAGCAGATGGAGGAGAAAAGAGTAGGCAGAGTGAGCAAGAAGTCATAAAGCCACCTGCAGAGACAGGCGCCTCCACCCGAATCCACCAAAACTTTGACTGTGATGATGCACAGATTAATAGAGATTGGTTAGTTTAGGATATAACCGCTAACTAGAAATATGCTTAAACTATTGGTCAAACAATATTGCAAATAGTATAGTTTCTCTGTGATTATTTAGAGTCAGGGAAACAAACTAGCAGCCTCTGCCAACAGGAAGTGGTCTCAGGGTCATACTGAGAGAAGCTTGAGCAAAAGAGACCTCAAAGCCCACCCCCACAGTGACACACTTCCTCCAAGAAGGCCACACATATTTCAACAAAGCCACACTTCCTAGCAGTACCACTCCCTTTGGGGACCATTTTCTTTCAAATCATCACTCTGTCTTCACAGTGCCAAGCCTCAGCTGCTCTCCATGGGCTCTTTGTACCTTCAAAACTAGTACTACCTTGGAGACTTAAACACTACCAAGTTCAGCATTCATGAGCTGCAACTTTGGCTGCCTCTGGAACACAGCTGACTCTGAAGAAAGACTTTGCAGAAGATTTTATCCCAGTGATAATGATCTCTTCTCCAGCTAACCAGCATCCATTGTCCTAGTAAAAGAAAGGACTTATTTTGTGATTCTTTTTTTTTCCAAAGACAGGATTTCTCTGTTTTAATTCAAAATAGGGAACAGCCCCAATAGTCTTTAAAGAACTCTCAAAATTCCCTCTGAAACTTGGGGGCTGGAGAGATGGCTCAGTGGTTAAGAGCACTGCTTGCTCTTCCAAAGGTCCTGAGTTCAATTCCCAGCAACCAAATGGTGGCTCACAATCATCTGTAATGAGATCTGGTGCCCTCTTCTGGCATGCAGGCATACATGCATAATTCTAAGAATACTGTATACATAATAAACATATCTTTAAAAAAAATCCCTCTGAAACTTCACAAGGCAGGCCTCTAATATCTGCATTGCTATCAACATTATCTTCCAAGCTTCCCACAAAACAGCCTGCTGATCTGAGCACTTAAGACTTTTATAGCCCAAAATTCCAAAGTACTAACACAAACCTTCCAAAACAACATGGCCAGATCTGGCACATCAATATTCCATTTCTGGTAATAACTATTGTCTTACTTAATGTTTCTATTATTGTGATAAAGATCATAGTCCAAAAAAAGCAACTTAGGAAGGAAAGGCTTTATTTCAGCTTACAGTTCCACGTTACATCCCATCAATGAGGGAAGTCGGTGAAGGAGCTCAAACAGGACAGAAGCCATGGAAGACTGCTGCTTACTGGATTGATCCTTGTGGCTTACTCGACTGCCTTCTTATATCACCCAGCACCACCAGCCCTGGGTAGCCCTGTGCATAGTGAGCTGTGCCCTTCCACATCAGTCATCAAGCAAGAAAAATTATCATAGGCTTGCACACCAGCCACTCAAGGAAGAACATTTTATAAACTGAGGTTTTCTCCTCTCAAATGAATGTAGCTTATGTCAAGATGGCATAAAACTAGCCAAATAGATACCTAGTATTTATTTTATAAGGAGATAATGTTTTCTAAATATGATAAATCTTCCATGAAAGCTAAAGCATTAGTTAATTCTGAGGATTTTTTAGTATTGCTTATTTATTTAATAGTTTATATATGGATTTAAAAGTTTATATGCAGATTTAACTATTTGTCCACTAAAATGAGTTTAATAATCACAATCTAATTTAGCAGGCATGCCCTCTCTGTTTGAGTTACTTTTCTGTTGCTATTTCAAAACACCATGACCAAAACAACTATAAAAGTGGTGTGGGAGAATTGTCTGTATTCTGTCAATCATATTTTAATAAAACGCTGATTGACCAGGCAGGCAGTATAGGTGGGAAAGCCAGACAGGAAGTAGAGGTGGGCAAAGAGACTGGGAGTATTCTGGGAAGCAGGAAACTCCCTCCGCTATTCCTGCGCAGACCACCGAAGAGGCAACATGTAAGCTGACAGCTGAAAAATGTACCAAGCCATATGGCTAACATAGATGAGAATAATGGGTTAATATAAGCTATAAGAGTTAACAAGAAACCTGAGCTAATGGGCCAATCAGTTTATAAACTTATAGAGCCCTGTGTGTGATTTTCTTTGGGAATTGCCGGTTGTGGGGTACTGAGCAGGACAGAAACCCCAACAAGCCGGCCCCTCATGTTACAATTGGGTTTATGGTTTGAGAAGTTTAGAATCCATGATGGCAGAATAGAAGCATGGCAAGAGGAACAGCTGAGAATTCACCTCTTTTTGGTTTTTGTTTGTTTGTTTGTTTAAAGCAGGGTTTCTCTGTGTAACAGCGCAGACTGTCCTGGAACTTGTCTGCTTCTGGGAGCACCAATTACTTCAGAAAGGATGATGGGAATTGAAGAAATTCATTTTGAAATTTTCCTTCAATATGACAAGGCTAGCCATTTGGTCAAGAAACTGCTCTTGCCTGGACTGCTTGACGGTTTGCTGTATAACTGGACATGCAGGACCCACAGAAAAAAAACATGACTGCTGAATTTACCAAAAGAAGGTAAGATGGTCCATTCGGGCTCCTGATTCATGAAAGAGTCTGCAGACATTCCGCAGAACACAGAAGAAACTGACTGACAAATTGTCAATATAGGTAAAACAGTCTTCCAAATTTCTTGTTTCATGAAAAAGTCTACCAGATACTATGGGCCTGTAGGCTGAAGATGGATGTCCCAACATTATAGGAGAACTTTGGGTGACAATCCGGGAAATGAGATGTCTCTGTCAATTCTAGAGTTTTGGAAGTAGTTTACAATGCACTTCCTGTTTACTTAGGTAATATTATATCCTTCTGGAGTCTTTGATGGAGTTAAAGACAGATACAGTTTTCCTTAGTTGTAACATGAGGGGCCGGTTTGTTGGGGTTTCTGTCCCGCCCGGTAACCCACAACCGGCATGCCCCAAAGAGAAAATCAATCACACAGAGATCTCTATAAGTTATAAAGCTGATTGGCCCATTAGGTCAGGCTACTTATTAGTTCTTATAACTTATCTTAACCCATTATTCAGATCTATGTTAACCACAGGGGCCCAGTACCTTTCTCAGTGTGACAGCTTACATGTTGCCTCTTCAGTGGTCTGCGCAGGAATGACAGAGGGAGCTTCTGCTTCCAGAATACTCCCAGTCTCTTTGCTCCACCTCTACTTCCTGTCTGGCTTTCCTGCCTATACTGCCTGCCTGGCCAATCAGCGTTTTATTAAAATATGATTGACAGAGTACAGACAATTCTCCCACACCACTTAGTTGTGATAAAAGATAAGTTAGATGTGAAACTTTAGACTCACAAAGATAAAATAAATGATAAAATATTTTCTTTAATTTTGCTAGATACAAATAGACTAAATATTGTAACTGTAATTCTTGTTTGACACTTGTTTTGTTATATGTAACTTTACTATGTTAAAGTTAAAACCTTCCTTTTTTTATTTAGACAGAAAAGGTGGATGATGTGGTATTCCCTTCTGTATACTATGAATATGTTTTATTACCATTGGTTAATAAAGAAGCTACTTTGGCCTATGGAAGGACAGAAAAACTAAACTGAATGCAAGGGAAAAGATGGTGGAGTCAGGCAGACGCCAAGTAGCCACCCAAAAAGCAAGATGTGAGGTAACATACCATGAGTCTCGTGGTAAAATATAAAATAATAGAAATGGGTTAATTTAAGATGTAAGAGAAGCTAGGAATATGACTGAGCTGCTGGCCAAATAGTGTTGTGATTAATATAGTTTTTGTGTGATTCTTAGGTCTGGGTAGCCGGGAAACAAAAGCTCAGTCTCCATTTACAAAAGTTTTTCTATCCTTATGAAGCTCTTTTTTGCTTGGTTGATTGGGTTTTTTGGTTTATTTTTTTTATTTTGTTTTGTTTTGTCTTTTGAGACAGGGTGTGGTAGTTTGAATGTTCCCATAATCTCATAGGGAGTGGCTATTAAGAGGTGTGACTTTGTTGGAGTGAGTATGGGAAAAGTATGTCATTGTGAGGGTGGACTTGGAGTTTTCCTACACTCAGGATACTGCCCAGTGTTTCAAGTGACTTCCTGTTGCCTGTAAGATGTAGACTCTCAGCTACTCCTCCAGCACCACATCAGCCTGCATGCCGCCATGCACCCTGCCATTATCATAA